GGAAGTTCCACTTTATTTGCTGAGTGCAGCAGTCAACTCGGGGACAGCCTAATAGGAAGATACAAAATAGAATGGAATTTATTTTTCAATAACCAGAACATGATTTTTAAACATTTAGAGAGCTAGAAAATGTAATCTACAGCTGGCAAGTATGTCTTATGCATCAAACATATTCAGCAATATTTCTCATGCATGAAGTCAAAATACAAAGAAAATACAAATCAAAGCAGGGAAACATTGAGGCGGCCCCCCATCTCTTGTATTCAATACAACTGGAGCCCAATTTAAACAGATTTAAATGACAAGCAAACTGGAAAACCATATCATCCACCGCCACCACCACCCCGAGATAGACCCGGGTATCCATTTACAGTGGCAGTTAAAGGAGAGCCCATCCATTTTAAGTCGGTTATCTGAGGAGTGGTCACCTGTAAGGTGATCGCGCCGAAGCTCACAGCTCCGCTGCCGCTAGCTATTATTACCAATAACTCAGAGTTTAGCTGGACACCTGGACGCCCCATCATGCACTATTGAGGGGCTAAATAAAACATGACAAGAGGCCAAAACAAACGGCTAAATACGCAGGCTACTGGCATTTCACAACAGCCACTGGTCTGAAACATTTGTTGTGCTTAGCCCCACCTCCCACTCCACCCCCCCCCCCCCCCCCCATCCCCATCACCCCCCTCGCCAGACATCCCCTTGGTCCACCAAGAGCCTCCTGTCATAGCAGAGGGCAGCTGGCCATGCTAGATCGATGGTAAGTGGAGGCTGCCGTACGTGACCCTGGAAAGTTTCTATTCTGCACCTTAACTATGGATTATTTTTCCAGGAGAGACGCCAGACAGACGATATATAGATTTTTGCTCCATTGTATCGACGAGTGTCGGCCACAACTCGGCTCTCATTAATTCAGGAAGTTAATAATTCAACGGCTGCGCATTTGCATTAGAGGGGGTAATAATAACGCGCCCTGCAAAATTTAGCAGGGAAATTGTTTTATGAATACACTCGCTCGGTCACTTTGTGTGGGTCAAAACACTTGGGTAATTAAACAGAGTGCCTGGAAATATGTTAAGTGTTAACTACATGCAATGTGACAAGCGTTTACAGATAGTCTCCCCCCTATGAAAAACGACTTCTCACCTTGAAAAGATCGGCTACCAAGCCAAAGTCGGCCACCTGGAAAATGGGAGCCTCTGGGTCCTTGTTAATAGGCCACAATAGTCTGGAAAAAAAATGTAAATACATATTTTTGAATACCTAACAAAACAGAACATTTAAACCGAAATTAAAAATAATAACGAAAATAATAAATAAATAAATCGGGAATTATGTAAATGAATAGAAGTGGGAACAGAAAACTGAATACAACCTTAGATTTCTTTATAAATAAAGAAACAAAATCACGAGGAAAATAAATCACAAGCCGTTTGTTTGAGGACAGCCTCAAACAAACAACAGCTTGGGAACATTTAACGCTGCCCAACAACAACTGCACCTTGCTGTCCTTCATGCCGGCCAAATGTTGGATGGCGCCGGAGATTCCCACAGCGATGTACAGCTCCTGGGAACGGAAAAAAGATACAATGAGCCCAACAGGTGAGGGGTTGAGTTCAGTCCGGGCACAGCACACCCAGATGGTACGAATAACACAATACCACAGAGAGTGAAAGGGCCCGTTTGGTGGGAGACAGTTGTGGAGGCCTCTCTTTCCATCTCCTCCTATTCCCTGTGGGAGGGCTCTCTGCTTAATGCACTGCCATATCAATATTTCAGAGGGCCTCAAAAAGAACAGGGCATCAATTTGTCAGCACAAAACGACTGAGCTTTAATACATAGTGCACCATGTGCTGCATAGCTACACAGACGGAAGTTTGTTTGGCAAAAGCCAATTGAACGGTAACAAAAACACTAGGTTAGGCAAAAGGAAAGCCAGGCTTTGCATGCTGATTGGCTGGATCTCTGAACTATTATCCAAGTGTGAGGATTGAGGAGCATGTCATTTTAGACTAACTGTATGAGTGGACCACGCCATGACACTGCCATTTGTTCCTTAACAAAGCTCCCATGAAAGACTGCTGAAGCAGAACCAACAGCTTTGATTACACAGGAACAATCCAGAGACTAACTATCTGGAAACGTGATGTCAAATGAAACGGAGCATCGGGTTAATTTGATTGCGCCACTTTCCATGACAATGAACGGCACCTGAATTGGTTATTATAACCATCCCGTGTAAAATACTTCTTTTTTTTTTTTTTAAAGTTAAACTAAAAGAAATGGCAACGAACCCAAAAAACACAATTGAATTGAACACATTAAGCCAGAACACAAGAAGCTTGTCAAAACATTTGGGAGAATGTGATTAGGACAGGCGGGCCTAGTCCGGGAGTGCAGACACTAGTGCAGCGGGCCTTAATGGATCAGCTAAATCATTTAGGGCGCGTAATGTGCCATCCACTGTGCTTTACCCACACTAATGTGTGGGTAATCGCAGCTGTGCTATCAGAGATGAATCAGATAATGGAGAGTTAACCTTTTTAAAACACTGCGGCATCCGTCCCGAGCATAACACGTTTCGGAAATGATGCAGAGTGGAAAAGCAACAGCATTTTGGCACAAAAGTAACCGATGGTTAGTTGTTTTATAAAATATGCATCTAATCTCTTTTGAACCTGCTACAGATTGTTCTTTCACATTATTCATAATTAAAGGTGTGTTCGTGTCTGATGAGGTCAAAATGAAATACTGTGATGAGTAGTGGATGTTGGGACGGGAGTGTCTCATGTTAAAAGACTTAGTCTTTTCCTCCATTAAAAAAATACCAAAGTTCTGCTGGCCAATTAATTATTTTTTGGCCAGTACAGCACTTCGTATAACCATGTTGTGGCACAACCATGACAGACCGCAGGTTTAATGTGATGCCACCGAGTGACCTGAGAAGTTGTCTTAAAATACTTAAAAAACGACATGCAACGCATTAAGTGATACAGTATACATACTTCAGGGAAAGCAACACTTACTGGTGCCACGATCTTGCCAGTCTGTCCCACCTGCATGTCATTAGGAACGTACCCAGCATCCACTGCAGCTCTGGATGCACCAACTGAAATCACAATACACAATATTACAATATGTACCATGACCAAACAGGGTACAGGTAGAACCATGTGACCTCCTCCTCCACATGTCAAGCTAACCTGCGGCGTTCATCTTCTCAGCGAGGTCATAGAGCAGCTTGAAGTTCTCTCCACTCTTCAACCCCCTCCCTGGAAAGAAGACAAACCACTTCAATTCTGATGGACAAATCCCATTGTTTATGTATTTCATCTATTTGCAACCTATTTGTCTACACAGTGTGGAAAATTGTCTTTGGCTTCACTTGACACATAACACATGAATAGACATGTGAATGAATCACACAGCAGGCATTAAAAACACAAGGACATTAAAAAAAAAAACACATTAAAAGTACACCAGTCACAGACCATCCTAATGGCCTATCCTAATGATAATAATTGTGCCAACGTGCATAGTTTTGGTTTCATTAAGTCACAAAAAGCTGAAGGAGAAATATAACGAAAGATACAGAAAGAGAAAAAAAGAGAGAGAGAGAGAGAGAGATCAAGCGAGAGAGCGAGAGCAAGCAACAGGGAGAGGGAGAGACAGATACAGATGGAGGGAGAGAGTTCAGGGTGTAGTGTGTGTGTTCCTACCTCCAGACACCACCACCTTAGCGCCGGTGAGCTCAGGGCGATCGCTTTTGCTCAGGTTCTGCTCCACCCACTCTGACAGCCCAGCAGGAGAGGGTGACGCCACTGCACTCAAAACATCACCAGTCAAATGATCAATCAAAACATCACCAAACATTCATAACAACATTGATTTTGAAATCATTAAATAAAACATATATACAACTGGTTTGTTTTCCTACCTGCTTCCGATGTGGCACTGCCTCCCTCCACAGCTGCTGGCTCGAACGACGTCCCTCGGACGGTGAAGACCTTCACAGACTCGTTGCACTTCACTGTGCTGAGAGCATTACCTGGAACACAAAACAACACAATGACGTACATGGAATGGCACAGATAAAATACATACATTGACCTAGCGACAGCTGCCCTCACCAGCATAGATGGTTCTGACGAAGGTGTCCGGGGACTTGATCTCGATGATATCTGAGATGGGGGCGACGTCTAGCTTGGCTGCTACTCTGGGGAGCAGGTTCTACAAGACGTAGGAGGAGGAAAAGAAGACTGTCAAGACCATAAGATTGTCAATAAACGACGTTCATCATCACCTTAAAGTGTCCACGCATTTCTAGAGTAGTCATGAATTGTGCACAAACTAAGGCTGCATAATATATATGTTATAGCGACGTGGATTTCTCAATATGAATGACGACAGTATTAATGTAAAGAAATAAACCATGTTGCAATTCACACAATAAATGAACAAAACAGCCAGTTTGAGAAAGGAATCCTGATCTTAGAATGAATATTAATGTCACTACGTTACAAGTAGTAAATGCTTTAAATCTGTAAAGCACTTCATTTATATAGCTACCTTAAAAAAAAATCCTAATGTACTACATAAACATTTACTCAGTTAATCACACGTCAGATGTGAACAAAAAAATACGACAGCACATCCTAAATCCACCGTCTCACCTTTCCGAAGGCAGAGGCCCCCGCACAGATGTGGGTGAATGTGAACTGCTGCTGGGTGGCCAGAATGAGTGGCGTCAACTCCTCTGCAGAAACCAAGACAAGAGTCAACCATTTAGCAATGGTCCCTTTATTATGTCTACTCAGATAGCAAGTCACAGTATTGTCAGTCGCAGCACATACCGGGCAGAGCTCCTTTGTAAGCGTCATGTTGGGCCACTAGGACTTTCTTCACTCCCTGCACTTTACTGACCTCCTCCACAACCTGAGGAGAACAACACATCACATACTCATGGTTACATGGCTGCTGCACTCGTCAATGGCAGACATTGTTGTTTTGTCTAGCGGATAGGGTGTTTGACTCCCAGTCGAAAGGTGCTGGGTTCGATTCCCCAATATCCACACCCTACCTATAGGCATTTCCTGCTCGACAAATTCGCCAAACAAAGCTTCTTCTTTTTCTTCTGCTCTTTAAAGACATGCATCTGAATTCACTGCAAGTCACTTTGGATAATATAACTAAATAGTAATAGTAAGTCGTTCATCATAATGCACGCAATCAGGTCCATAGCATAGCAGGCTTGGTGTCGGGCGAGTGTAAAATCACGCGAGCTGGTTGACCCTACCTTGGAGCACTCTGTCCCAGCCACCAGACAGGTCACCTCTCCACCAAGCTTGCTGGCCGCCGTGATGGCGCTGAGTGTGATGGGGGTCAACTTGTCATTGTTGTGCTCTGCGACCACCAAGGTACTCTGGAGCCTCTGGAGGAAGCTAGTCTGTTGGAGGACATTTGGTTAGCACAACCGAAATAATACAATGGTCATATACAATACCCACAAGTTATGCGTTTATAATTTAGTATGAACCAATACAGTGTATTGACCATTTAAAATCAAATGGATTTGGTCGAATATATCTGATTCTGCAGCAACGCAGTGCATCGCATGCAATGCTTAGTGTTAAGACAGAGTAAGAACTGATGGGAGTAGATGTGTATCATATAACAAGTGACTTGACAGCAGCACCATGCAACAGACTTGAGGCCTTTGCAAATCCTAGGATACGTATGTATTAAGCAACAGCTTGAAGTATGTCCAGCTCTGGCAAGTTAAAACAGGACGACTCCTGTCTTATCAGCTGTATGCTCTGGAGGTCATTCAAGTGAACCAATATAGAGTTGGGTCTGCAGTGACACACAACACATGACATCATCCACTAGCAGTAATACTATATTCACTAGCATATTCACTAGCAGTAATACTATATTCACTAGCAGTAATACTATATTCACTAGCAGTAATACTGTATTCACTAGCAGTTATACTGTATTCACTAGCAGTTATACTGTATTCACCAGCAGTAATACTATATGCACTAGCAGTAATACTATATTCACTAGCAGTAACACTATATTCACTAGCAGTAATACTATATTCACTAGCAGTAATACTATATTCACTAGCAGTAATACTGTATTCACTAGCAGTAATACTGTATTCACTAGCAGTAATACTGTATTCACTAGCAGTTATACTGTATTCACCAGCAGTAATACTATATGCACTAGCAGTAATACTATATTCACTAGCAGTAATACTGCATTCACCAGCAGTAATACTATATTCACTAGCAGTAATACTATATTCACCAGTAGTAATACGGTATTCACTAGCAGTAATACTGTATTCACCAGCAGTAATACTGTATTCACTAGCAGTAATACTATATTCACTAGCAGTAATACTATATTCACCAGCAGTAACACTATATTCACTAGCAGTAATACTATATTCACTAGCAGTAATACTATATTCACCAGTAGTAATACGGTATTCACTAGCAGTAATACTGTATTCACCAGCAGTAATACTGTATTCACCAGCAGTAATACTGTATTCACCAGCAGTAATACTGTATTCACTAGCAGTAATACTGTATTCACCAGCAGTAATACTGTATTCACCAGCAGTAATACTGCATTCACCAGCAGTAATACTGTATTCACCAGCAGTTATACTGTATTCACCAGCAGTAATACTGTATTCACTAGCAGTAATACTGTATTCACCAGCAGTAATACTGTATTCACTAGCAGTAATACTGTATTCACTAGCAGTAATACTATATTCACCAGCAGTAATACTGTATTCACTAGCAGTAATACTGTATTCACCAGCAGTAATACTATATTCACCAGCAGTAATACTGTATTCACTAGCAGTAATACTGTATTCACTAGCAGTAATACTGTATTCACCAGCAGTAATACTGTATTCACTAGCAGTATGTAATACTGTATTCACCAGCAGTAATACTGTATTCACCAGCAGTTATACTGTATTCACTAGCAGTAATACTGTATTCACCAGCAGTAATACTGTATTCACTAGCAGTAATACTATATTCACCAGCAGTAATACTGTATTCACTAGCAGTAATACTGTATTCACCAGCAGTAATACTGTATTCAATAGCAGTAATACTATATTCACCAGCAGTAATACTGTATTCACTAGCAGTAATACTGTATTCACCAGCAGTAATACTGTATTCACTAGCAGTAATACTGTATTCACCAGCAGTAATACTGTATTCACTAGCAGTAATACTGTATTCACTAGCAGTAATACTGTATTCACTAGCAGTAATACTGTATTCACCAGCAGTAATACTGTATTCACTAGCAGTAATACTATATTCACCAGCAGTAATACTGTATCCACTAGCAGTAATACTGTATTCACTAGCAGTAATACTATATTCACCAGCAGTAATACTGTATTCACTAGCAGTAATACTGTATTCACTAGCAGTAATACTGTATTCACTAGCAGTAATACTGTATTCACTAGCAGTAATACTGTATTCACCAGCAGTAATACTGTATTCACTAGCAGTAATACTATATTCACCAGCAGTAATACTGTATTCACTAGCAGTAATACTGTATTCACTAGCAGTAATACTGTATTCACCAGCAGTAATACTATATTCACCAGCAGTAATACTGTATTCACCAGCAGTAATACTATATTCACCAGCAGTAATACAGTATTCACCAGCAGTAATACTATATTCACCAGCAGTAATACTGTATTCACTAGCAGTAATACTGTATTCACTAGCAGTAATACTGTATTCACCAGCAGTAATACTATATTCACCAGCAGTAATACTATATTCACCAGCAGTAATACTGTATTCACCAGCAGTAATACTGTATTCACTAGCAGTAATACTGTATTCACCAGCAGTAATACTATATTCACCAGCAGTAATACTATATTCACCAGCAGTAATACTGCATTCACTAGCAGTAATACTGTATTCACTAGCAGTAATACTGAATTCACCAGCACTAATACTGCATGCGTTGTTTAAAGCAACACACAAGGTTGTGTAACGACTGTTCCCTAAGGCTTCATAAGACCTTGAGTAAAGCTGCACCCTAAAGCCTGCATATCGACACCCAAAATCATATATTTGTCGTCACAGCAACAGTATGATTTCTACGACCAGAAACAACCACTACTTCGACCACTCAGCGACATTTAGTGTGCATTTATTGAATGCTTTGACGACAACTGTGTCACCTGCTGTTAGCTTGCTAGCAATACAAGCAGCTCGTAGCTTCACATGGACGAGACGTTTTATACAGTTAGCTTCGCCGACACGTCTAATATCTCCGTATAGGACGTGAGCTGGTTACTGTCATACACTCACCAGCTGTCTGAGGTTTGTCTTGTTGACGGCCCTGTGCATGGTGGACACGACGCCTTCCCTGTTTCTGTGAGAAGAAGAAGGTGATAATCTGTGCAGAACCAGGCTAAAGGTTGTGGTGGGTGGTGTGGCGGCGCTCTCGCGAGATCGCTAAGATCGCTGCAGATCTCGCGAGGTTGTGCTTTACGCACAAACTACGTGGTTACGTCATTGCGTGCCGTGCCGTCCGGGTTAAGGGTGTGTGCACCTTAGGGTGGGTTGGCCAACGCACCCATAACACCCTATACACACTGTATATTTCAAACGCATTTTACATGTTTCTTGTAGGCCTACCTATTCAAACTCTAACATAGAATAGCGTAAAGGCTATGTAGGCTATATAATAGGCCTAAGCAAACGACCAATTACAATGCTGCACTCACAGGCCTGTGAGTCTCATCATTAGTCAGTAGGCCTAGTGATTTAAATGATATGTAGGCCGACCTGTACTTTTTAGTTTTAGTTTAGTTTAAGTAACCTAATCTTTCGACAAGAGGCCATGGATACACCATGCAACATTTGAAGACAACATGTGTCTTATAGCAGCCTAACAAAAATGTTACCATTGCAAAAAAAACAACAACCGTAGGCTTGTATAGAGTAAGAATTAATATCCTAATTGCATGAATTATGTTCAATTGAAATTGATGTTGGTTGTGTTTTATTGGGTCAGAGATATCCAATATCAATCCAGTCGTTATATGAATGTTGGTTTATTATCTGAACTAACACCAGGGGCGATTCTAGGGTCAGAGCTTTAGGGGTGCTGAGCACCCAATGAGCCCCACTGCCACCACCCACCCTTTTTTCACACAAAAACAAAAAATATGTCTATTGAAAAATAACTTTATCATTCACACACACACACACACACACACACACACACACACACACACACACACACACACACACACACACACACACACACACACACACAGTAACGCTAGGAGCTAGTATATACTATGCCCCCATGAATGTGATGTGATTATTATTGTTGCAAAGTGTTAGGATTAAACAATAACATATGTATCATCAGGCTGTAATATCGTCACATAGCTAATAAGGACTGTAACATAAATATAAACTGTATATATCCGACCTGACCGCAGGATGGCGGTAAACATAATACACTGGGGCGGAAGTGCAACACTAGCCATTGTGCGTCATGGAGGCCACGCCTCCTGCTGAATGACTTCCAGCGGAAGTCGCCAGCTCTAGGCAGAATCGTTCAGGCAGACCGCCAGAGGGACGCGCGGACGATTTCTCCACGCGTGTGGCTTTTACAATACTCCCCATATGCTTGTTAGATTAAGATAACTAAACCTAAACAAATAAATGTGAGTGAAAAGCGTTCCTGTTGTCGGCGGCCGCCTTCCCTCGGGACACTAAACCCCACAAAAGCCTGGTTCCGGTTAAATCCTCTGTAAAACATGAATGAATACAGCAAAAGAAAAACATTTAACTTTATTTTATTGTCTGGTTTGATAGTCAGACAACTGAAAAATAACAGATATAAATCTATGAATAAATAACAATTAATTTAAAAAGCCACAGTGAGTGTTTTCACACATACTGGTGGTATACAGTGATGTGTCGTTTCGTTTGTTTTTCACTCTGGTCCAAACGCCGCACCACTGGCAGGGCTTC